CCAAGGGGTTATTGCTTTCCCTTCCTCTCTTTGCTGCAATGTAACCTTTTGCTTCCTGCACTGTATCTCTCTCTGAACTTTCTGCTCCCTAACCTGTCAGCTAGGAAAAGAGGGGGGGAGAAAGAAATACAACCTCCGGAGCCTGGCTTATCTCTCCGTTCACAAAAGGAGGTGCGAAGAGCTGCTTGAACATCATGCTACGACCCAGAGCCGGACCGACGTTATCTCCTCTTTCCCACGATGGACTTAACCCCTGGGGATTGGCTGGTTTGAACCATCTGGATGAACTGTGGGGTGGGGTTTGCTTGTGGACACTTTAAAGCAGACATGTCAAACACAAGGCCTGGGGGCCGGATGTGGCCCGCAAAGTGGTTTCATGTGGCCTGCGAAGCCATCCTGGAAACAGTGAAGGAACGCCCCCTGCTGCCTTGGCCCCACTCCCTGGGTGCATGCACCCTTGACGCGAATGATGTAGAGCTGGCCATGCCCACCCAGTAGGCCACACCCACTCTGTCCATGCCCACCCAGTAGGCGGCACTCATCCTGGCCACACCCATCCAGCCCCCTGAGGGCAACCGCAATGCTGATGCGGCCCTCAATGAAATTGAGTTTGACACCCCTGGTTTAAAGTATTGATCTGCAAAGGACCCCTTCAGATGCTGTCTATTATGCCTGCTATCAACTACTTTAAACAAAAGTTCCTGTTGGAGGAAACCATCTGCAAGAGTTCTGCTTTCTTAAGATGTGGGGTTGAAGTGGGTCCTTACACCCACTTGACCATATATTTACAGCACTAAAAAGGAAAAATACCGGCCAGTTGAATCTATGATTTGCTATTGAACCGTGGGCGGAGAGTAGACACGGCCTGCTGGCCAGCTTTAATAGCCGAAGTGAGGCAAGACAAAATCCAGATTTTTCCTGTTCCCTTTGGCTCAGTCTTGCTTGGATTTCCACAAAATGGATTTCACAAACTGCTGGTTGGTTGGGAGAGGTCAAAGCTCTCTGAGTGAGATTTTTTTTTTTTATCTCCACTGGCTGTACGTCTTGATAGTAAGATGATGAGTCATGATAACAGCTGGAACCCAAAGGACGAAAAAACAGTTTTGAGGGAAGAAACTCTTCTAGATAGAAGATGATACCTCTTGGCATTTTGGCCAATGAAATGGCTTTCTGAACAGACAACACATTGCAGGTGAGAAGCTGGTGGCAGCAGAGAAGACAGGTAGTCATCAAAAGCCAACAGCTGGACTCACACACCTTATGAGGTCAATGGTAGGGACAGTTATGTTATATGAACGTCCTGACTCAATCTTGGGGCAAAAGAGAAGCAGCTTGAACTCAAAACGGGGCAATTGAGAGTGAAACCACCCTTCCCCAACAGCCTTTTAAAATGTAAACCCAGTCAACGATGGGTTACTGCTTGAGATCCACCTAGCAATAGCAATAGCATTTGACTTATATACCGCTTCACAGTGTGCTTTCCAGCCCTCCCTAAGCGGTTTACAGAGTCAGCCTATTGTCCCCAACAATCTGGGTTCTCATTTTACCGACCTCGGAAGGATGGAAAGCTGAGTCAACCTTGAACCAGTCAGAACCGAACTGCCAAACTGCTGGCAGTTGGCAGTCAACAGAATTAGCCTGCAATACTGCATTCTAACCACTGCACCACCAGGGCACCTATTCTAGTCCTCCAAAGAAATAAGAGCAGAGTGTCTGAAAGTTGGACATTTTATTACAAAGGCCACTTCCTAAGCCCACACCTTACCCGTCCTTGAAGGATCATAGAGTCCCAGGGTTAGAATCTTCAGAGAAATGGCTGCCCAACATTTGTTTGACAATCACTTAAATATGAGCCGGCAGTGTGCTGCAGCTGCCAAAAAGCCAACACAGTGCTAGGCTGCATTAACAGAGGGATAGAATCAAGATCACGTGAAGTATTAATACCACTTTACAATGCCTTGGTAAGGCCACACTTGGAATACTGCATCCAGGTTTGGTCACCACGATGTAAAAAAGATGTTGAGACTCTAGAAAGAGTGCAGAGAAGAGCAACAAAGATGATTAGGAGACTAGAGGCTAAAACATATAAGGAATGGTTGCTGGAACTGGGTATGTCTAGTTTAACAAAGAGAAGGATGAGGGGGGACATGATAGTAGAGTACCAATATCTCAAGGGCTGCCCCAAAGAAGAGAGTCAAGCTATTCTCCAAAGTGCCTGAAGGCAGACAAGAAGCAATGGATGGAAACTAACCAAGGAGAGAAGCAACCTAGAACTAAGGAGAAACTTCCTGACAGTGAGAACAATTAACCAGAGGAACAACCTGCCTCCAGAAGCGGTGAATGCTCCAACACTGGAAGTTTTTAAGAAGAGACTGGACAGCCATTTGTCCGAAATGGTATAGGGTTTCCTGCCTGAGCAGGAGGTTGGACTAGATGACCTCCGAAGTCCCTTCCAACTTTATCATTATTATTATTATTATTATGGAGTTGCTGTGACTCCAAGAGGATGATGGAGGAGAGTCAGAGCAGTACCCATCTCATCCGAGGGCTTAAGAGACCAGACAGAGATGGAGATAGTGGATGGAGAGTTTTGATGCCCCCAAGAGTGGCACTCAACCTGTGCTGGCATATTGCGCACTAGATAGCAAGTACCAACGCAAGTACCTTGTGTTTAGCACAATGTACGCACCCAGCATAGAATCAAGATCACACGAAATATGAGTACCGCTTTACAAAGCCCTAGTAAGACCACACCTGGAACACTGCAGCCAGTTTTGGTCACCATATTACAAAAAAGATGTTGAGAGTTTAGAAAAAATTCAGAGAAGAGCAACTAAGATGATCAAAGGCCTGGAGGCTAAAACATATGAAGAACGGCTGCGGGACTTGGGTTTGGCTAGTCTAAAGAAAAGAAGAAATAGTGGAGACATGATAGCAGTATTCCAGTACTTGAGGGGCTGCCACAAGGCAGAAGGGGTCAGGTTGTCCACCAGAGCACCAGAGGGAAGGACAAGAAACAATGGTTGGAAATTGATTAAGGAAAGAAGCAACCTGGATTTAAGGAGAAACTTCCTGACAGTGAGGACAATCAAGCAGTGGAACAGCTTACCCCCCAGAAATTGTGGGCGCCCCATCACTGGAGATCTTTAAGAAAAGACTAGACAATCACCTGTCTGAGATGGTGTAGGTTCTCCTGTTTAAGCGGGGGGGGGGGGGCTGGACTAGAAGAGTTTGTATGTAGGTCTTTGGTTATTCGGGTTTTCTCCCGCGTAAAATTAGAAGTGTCTTGGCGACGTTTCGACGAAGTCCCATTCGTCATCTTCAGGCTGGTGTTTTCGGCTTCGTGCTTCTAGGAGCAATACCCTGACGATGTCGGTAGTGTGGCCGACGAAAGCTTGGTTTTGTATAGTAAACATTTATGTTTATGATTTTATCCTGGTGATCACCTTATTTTACTTCACATTATGTATATACACGGGATTCGTGTTTTTAATACTATTAAGGATATATATATGTATGTATGCATGTATGCATGTATGTATGTATGTATGTATGTATGTATGTATGTATGTATGTGTGTTTATATAACTCAAGATAATCCTTCTCCCCTGTCTCATAGCTGACAAAGTGAGAAAGAGCCTGTGGTCTAGAGGTTAATACATCTGCCTAACATGCAGACAGCCCAGGTTCGAATCTCAGAAGGGTATGTCTGGTTGAAAAGAACTAAAAAGTTTGAAATGGCTATTCCAGGTCTCCCTTAATTCTTTGTTAGCAATCCAAATTTTGAAATATATATATATGTAGGTCTTTGGTTATTCGGGTTTTCTCCCGCGTAGAATTGGAAGTGTCTTGGCGATGTTTCGACAAAGACACTTCCAATTCTACGCGGGAGAAAACCCGAATAACCAAAGACCTACATACAAACACCCGTGAAAACCTCAGAAAACACACATATATATATATAGGTCAGTCCCTGTAATGAGTTCAGCTTTGTTCTAACCTTATTTTTTTTATCTCCCCATAACATACAGTATTGTGCAAACTCATCCCATAAGATTTATACTACAATAGATTAAGCCAACTGAGAACAGGAATTAATTTAATAATCAGATTAAAGACTTTGTATGAAGGGAGTCATTATGGTGTAAATCAAGAAGTAACAACCTTTGAGGATTGAGGAATGACATATAGGTGGATCACTGGAACATCTGACCTGCCTCTTATCTTGCAGATCATTTTAGCTGCCAAGCAAGCTAGGTCCTAGGTTGCATTAAACAGAGAGACAGCTTCAAGATCCCAGTGTTAGCACTTTATACTTCACAGGTGAGACCACACCTGGAATACTGCTTCCAATTTTGGTGCAAAAAAAGAGTGCAGAGAAGAGCAACAAAAATCAGGGGGCTGGCGGCTAAACCATATGATGAACGACTGAGGAAACTGGGTATGTCCTATTTAACAATGAGAAAGAAAGTCTGAGGTGGTATGATGGCAGTCTTCCAGTACTTGACAGATTGTCACAGGGAGAAGAGGATTCACTTGTTCTCCAAAGCACCTGAGGGCAGGACAAGAAGAAATGGGGCGGGGGGGGGGGGAGAGATCATTAAAGAGAGATTCAACTGCCGTAGAACCAAGGAGAAACGTCCGGTCAGTGAGAACAATTAACCAATGGAACAGCTTGCCTCCAGAAGTTGTGGTTGTTCATCACTGGAGGTTTATCAAGGAGAGATTGGACAGCTATTTGTCCAGAATGCCATAGGACCTCCTGTCATGGGCAGGATTTGGGCTAGACGACCTCCCAGGTCCCTTCCAATCCTATGATTCCATGTTCTGTGTTTCTACAAAGCTCTTTCTAGCCCGTAGACAACTTTACCAGCTTCAGTCCTTCTGGCTATCTTGATGGTATTTCACTCAACCCCCCTGGACCTCAAACCAGCCCCCTTCAACAGCATCCCCACAATTACCCTTGAATCTTTACTGGTCTGGATGCCCCACCAGCTCGCTCAAAGGAGAATCGAAGGCAGCAGTGCCCCACAGCGGGAATTCAGCTTTAAAGAAGCTAAGGAATCGGCCCGCGTGGGGCCGATGTTAACAATGGCCATCGGCAGCTTCCTGTCCCGGGCAGCAAGGGCAAATTTGTAAGCTGAGAAGACCTGCCAGACACAAAAGAAACATTTGTCAGATGAAGTGAAGCATATGGCTGACAAGCTCTCCCTAACGGGGTGCCCTCTGCATGTGCTGACATAGGACACCAAGACTCTCAGCCCGCACAACCTTGGGCCAATTGTGGTTAAGGATTAGGCAGTGTTTCTCCACCTCAGCAACTTTAAGGTGTGTGGACCAGAATCCTCCAGCCAGCCATGCTGGCTGAGAGATTCTGGGAGTTGAGGTCCACACGTCTTAAAAGTTCCTGAGTTTGAGAAACACCGGTTTAGATAGCTGAACACTATTAAGCTGGACTTGGGGTATCTGCGAGGGTGTGGAACATGGATTAAGAGACCTAGAAGATAGTGGTCCTGGAGTAGAGAGTGGGTCTCTGACAGAAGGCCACCTGAAGAGACTAGAAGCATTTGAAATGTGGATTTACAGGCAGCTGTTATGTAGAAGCTGGGTTGACAAGATCAGAAATGAGGAGGTGATCAGCTGCCTGGGAAAGCCAAGGGAAATCATCAAAACAATTAAAAAACGAAAATTAGAATATTTCAGACATGTGATGCGACACCCAGAAAAATACGGCATACTCCATTTAATCCTCCAGGGAAAGATTGAAGGCAAACGAGGTCCAGGCAGAAGAAGAACATCATAGCTTCAAAATCTAACGGACAGGTTTGGACAAAACTCAGCAGCACTTTTTCGTTCGGCTGCTGATAAAAACAGGATTGCCAACATGATCGCCAACGTCCGATAACGGATATGGCACAAGAAGAAAAAGAAGATGACCTAAGCCAGGTTTTATTGAGTAACAATAAAAGTTACTCAAGTATGACCATGATATTCCATTAAGGATTAGCCTGAACCCAGTTTCTCATAGCTTCTCATGCTTTGTTCCAGAGAGGACCACTGGCAGAAAAAAAAGCCCCGGGGTGTCGCTCTGCCTTCTCCCCAGGGGGACTCATCTTCTCGGGAGCCACGAAGAGTCAGCAAGGTGTGGGGTGAGGTGGGACTTGAGGCTGTTATAGCAGGAAGGAGGGAATTAGATAGACAGAAACAGTCACCAATGTGCCGGGGTTAGGATGACTAAAGATTGGCACCATTTGGAAAATAGGTAAGACCCATTATAATGCTCAGAACCAGGACTGTATTCCTGTGACATTGCCTTAGCACCCTCAAAACATCAGATTTCCAAGACAAAGCTCTAGATCAGTGGTTCTCAAGCTTTTTAATGCCGCGACCCCAACCGGTCGTAAGTCGAGGACTAAACCGGTCGTAAGTCGAGGACTACCCAACCGGTTGTAAGTCGAGGACTAAACCGGTCGTACGTTGAGGACTAAACCGGTCGTAAGTCGAGGACTACCCAACCGGTTGTAAGTCGAGGACTTTCCCTGCCCGGGAGCGCTGCGCATGCGTGGTTCCGCCCCCTGCGCCGGCTGAGGCGTAGCTGGCAAGCGGCAGAGACGGAGCAGGCCGACCACCAGCTGGCCCAGCCCAAGGGAGGTAAGGCACCCGCCGGAAAAGGGGAAAAAATGGCGGACAGCCTTGCTTGGCGACCCCCGTGAAATGGTCGATCGACCCCAAATGGGGTCCCGACCCACAGGTTGAGAACCACTGCTCTAGATCAATGGCCCCATTCACCCCATCAACTAACCCAGGGGTAGGCAACTTTGGACTGTATCACTCTCTGGTTAGATCAGGGGTAGGCAACCTTGGCTCTTTTATGACTCGTGGACTTCAACTCCCAGAATTCCTGAGCCAGCTATGCTATGCTGGCTCAGGAATTCTGGGAGTTGAAGTCCACGAGTCATAAAAGAGCCAAGGTTGCCTACCCCTGATCTAACCAGAGAGTGATACAGTCCAGATTTTGGGGAGACTAACCTGTTTTGGAGGCCCTGTCTCACAGATCATCCATACCCAGGCTGGAGAAGGCTGAGACAGCCTGCATGGTGACACCCCCTTGCCGGGCATCTCAAGAGGCAGATTTGCGCACATACCTGCAAGGAAGACCCGGCCACGAGGACCGCATCGGACTCCTCAAGACGCTGGTACACCAAGTTCACTTTCTCCTTGCACACGTTGTCCCCAAAGAAAATCACATCTGGCTTGAGGACCCCACCACATTTGCTGCACGGTGGGACACGGAAATGGCGCACCTGCTCTTCCGGCAGAAAGACATCTCCGTCAGGGGCCACGCCGTGGGCCTTAGCTGTCCACGTGGGGTTCAAAGCCTCAAAATGTTCCTGGAGTCGCTCACGGGAGACCCGGGCCCCACAGTTGAGGCACATGACCCTGTGGAGAAAGAGGCTTTCAAGGCTCAGGATTTCTAAGCCGGGACGGGGGGGGGAAGGAAGGGACCCTCTTGCGATTCCTAGCAGCTAAACACCCCCCACCCCAATAGAACATAAGAAAATAAAATGAGAAAACAGAAAAGAAGTTGAGGTCAAGGCTTCAAGTGAAAGATTTAGGCCAGGGAAAAGGGTATTATTCTTTTTTTCCTGCTGCAAGCACTTCCTGGGAACTAAAATGCCTGTAGGGCAGTGGTTCTCAACCTTTTTAATGCCGTGACCCCAACCGGTCGTAAGTCGAGGACTAAACTGATCGTAAGTCGAGGACTAAACCGGTCGTACGTCAAGGACTTTCCCTACCCGGGAGCGCCGCACATGCGTGGTTCCGCCCCCTGCGCCGGCTGAGGCGTAGCTGGCAAGTGGCAGAGATGGAGCAGGCCGACCACCAGCTGGCCCAGCCCAAGGGAGGAAAGGGACCCGCCGGAAAAGGGGGAAAAAATGGCGGACAAAAAAATGGCGGACAAAAAAAATGGCGGACAGCCTTGCTTGGCGACCCCCATGAAATGGTCGATCGACCCCAAATGGGGTCCCGACCCACAGGTTGAGAACCACTGCTGTAGGGGGTCAGCATTGTCTGGCTCCCCCCCCCGCAGCAAAAGGCTTGGAACTCTGCCACGGAGGGACAGGATCAGACCCCACCAGCCCTCTGGCATTCTACCCAGAGGACGCCTCTGAGCCGAGCTCAGCTGCCACTGACTCCAAGGACGGATGCTGGTGGGTTGTCTTCTTCTCAAGAGCGCCGGTGGGTTTGCCTCGCTGCCCTCTGCCTTGCTCCAGGACCCTTTTCAACTCTGCAGCCCAGCAGAAATTTCTCAAGGTTCGCTCCTGGCCTCCCTCCAAGTGGTGACCAGGCCTGACCCCCACTTAGTTTTCAAGCCCAGAGAAGAAGCCCGGCTGGGTGAATATGGAAGAACAGGAGAGACTTCACACACAAACCGCGAAATAAAGCCATGATTTATGACGATGGCTGGGTTCCCAAAACACCCTAAGTCAGGAGCACACAACTTCCATTAGCTCAAGGACGATCTGGTGGGATCCTGAGGCCCACACTTGCCAAGGAGGGGGCAGGGGGTAATTGGGGAGAACCTCCCAAGGTATGCCAACCTTTGACCCAGACTCTTCAAGGGCTGCAGAAAGGAGGTTATTATCTGTGCTTTGCAGACCATAATTTAGTTGGGTGCAGCCTTCCTACTCAAGTTATAAATCTTGGTTTACGGGCCACAATGGGCTGGATTCACATCACATGCGAAGCTGAATTTGAGCTAAATCAATGTCATCCTAGGCTAGGGGTAGGCAACCTTGGCTCTTTTATGACTCGTGGACTTCAACTCCCAGAATTCCTGAGCCAGCATGAGGGAACTATGGCCCCCTCCATGACTCATGGACTTCAACTCCCAGAATTCCTGAGCCAGCATGGCTCAGCTTGGAAACCTCTCCATTTCCCCTCAGCATGGCTGGCTCAGGAATTCTGGGAGTTGAAGTCCACGAGTCATAAAAGAGCCAAGGTTGCCTACCCCTGTCCTAGGCATACTAGTCTTCCCTCTTAGATGAGGAATGGGCATCGCAACTCATGCCAGCTCAGAGGTGTCCCCTCGATCACCCCTTTTCTATAGCTGGACCATGCTAGGTCCTCGCTGCTCAAAATACGAGGGCAATTCGGAAATAAACCTCCATGACAGACACTCGCAGATACAGAACTTTTATTATGCACATTAGAAAATAACAACATTGCATTGCTTTTTGACATAGTCGCCATTCAAATTGAGGCCCTTGTCGTAACGTCTTACAAAGTTTGAAATGTCTTAGTCCTAGTCGCTCGGCGCCAAATCTGGGCTATGGGGGGGTGTGTGATCAAAAACATCCCAACAGAACTGCTTCAAAAGTTCTTGTGTGCGTCTAGCCGTGTGCGGGTGAGCATTATCGTGAACCAACACAACAGAAGTCAACAGGCCCCGACGCTTGTTATGGATGGCTCATCTGAATTTTCGGACTTTTGAAGCAATTCCGTTGGGATGTTTTTGATCATACCCCCCCCCCCCCTAGCCCAGATTTTGCACTGAGCAACTACGACTAAGGAATTTCAAACGTTGTAAGATCTTATGACAAGTGCCTCAGTTTGAATGGCGATTATGTCGAAAAGTAATGTAATGTTGTAGTTTTCTAATGTGTATAATGAAAGTTCTGTATCTGCGAGTGTCTGTCATTGATAACCCAAAGGGGGGGGGGGTTATTTCCGAATTACCCTCGTACATTTAATAATCTATCCTTATTTCATGGGGACTGTGAAGGACCCTTCTGGAGAAAGCCTCTGCCATCATCCCTGGCTGGGAACCATGGAAGTCCCTCTCTGCTCAGTCTGGAGGACAGGCAAGGTTAAGCTCTGTAGCCCCCCCCCAGCACTGTTGCAGATTCATCCCTTGCTTCCTGCTGGCCCCAGACCCCCTCCCACAAACCCTGAAGCCCCATTTTTTTCCTGGCTTCTTGATTTGGGTGACTTTTCTGTTATGAGATAGTTAAAATCCACCCTGTTGAACTCGGGGAAGGACAGTCAAAGGGGACTGGAGGCTAAAACATATGAGGAACGGTTGCTGGAATTGGGTATGTCTAGTTTAACGAAGAGAAGGACGAGGGGGGACAGGATAGCAGCCTTCCAGTATCTCAGGGGCTGCCCCAAAGAAGAGGGAGTCAAGCTATTCTCCAAAGCGCCTGAAGGCAGGACGAGAAGAAACGGATGGAAATTAATCAAGGAGAGAAGCAACCTAGAACTAAGGAGAAACTTCCTGACAGTGAGAACAATTAACCAGTGGAACAACCTGCCTCCAGAAGCGGTGAATGCTCCAACACTGGAAGTTTTTAAGAAGAGACTGGACAGCCATTTGTCTGAAATGGTATAGGGTTTCCTGCCTGAGCAGGGGGGTGGACTAGATGACCTCCAAGGTCCCTTCCAACTACTACTACTACTACTACTACTACTACTACTACTACTACTACTACTTCTTCTTCTTCTTCTTCTTCTTCTTCTTCTTCTTCTTCTTCTTCTTCTTCTTCTTCTTATTATTATTATTATTATTATTATTATTATTATTATTATTATTATGTCAAATCACGAATTAACCGATTCGACTCCTGCAGTCTTGGCATATGATGGCTGCCAAGCGGTTATGCTGTTTTCCCATGTAAGAAAGCAGCACACAGCACTCCCCCGCTTCCTCTTTTTCTAACACCGGGGATGTTCCCAATATAGTTTAAAACGTTGCCACCTATGAGCAGAATTAAATTCTTCTTTCGTTTGATTCGTTCTGTATCCTATCACAAAAACGGCTCCTTTTCTCTTTGGCAAAGGAACCTGTGGGGTGAGCAGGACATGTCTGCTTAGACTGGCAAGACAACATTTGTTCCTCGCAGACCTGCACACCCCACAGATATTATAATAAATGGTTAGCAGTTGCAGCTATGCGCAGGAGGATCGTGTCCTCCACCACCCAGGAAGGCAGTCAGGTAGCTCCAACCTCCAGCAGGAAGAATTGGCCGGGAGTGCCGGAGGGCAAGTTGCTGCCCACTCCGGCTGCTTCTGCCCTATGGCAGGACCACTCCTGCAGAAATGCTGGAGAGCTGTCAACGGCCCACCAAGCTCGCCAGACTGCTCATCCTAAATGCCGTCCCATTTTGAGTGGGGCCATCCAGAGGCCCAAGGGAAGCCCCCCCCCCCAGCTTTCAGCTGCACTTGGACCCGGCGCCACAGGGCCACGCCAGTGCTGGGGCCTGAAATGCAGATGTGCCAGGCAGCTGCAATGCCATGCGCTTTCCCTGTCAGGCTTGGCACCCCCTTCCCCTTCGCCACCTGTGCGTGCAGCCATGCAGCTCAGTCATGCGCCGACTGCCGGCCTTGGCATGGAGGGCGTCCACGTTCTGGGTCACCAGCCAGTGCAGCCTCCCCCGCTGTTCCCAGCTGCTCAGAGCCCGGTGTGCCGCGTTGGGCTGAAAGGAGGAAAACTGGGGCCACCCCACAAAGTTCCTGGCCCAGTATTTCTGCCGGGCTGAGGCACTGCGGAGAAACTCGGCGTGCTGGAGAGGCCGCCGGTCAGACCGGGCGTAAAGGCCCACGCCTTCAGAGCGGTAGTCCGGGATGCCGGATTCGGTGGAGATTCCTGCTCCGGTCAAGACAAAGAGCCGCTGGCAGTGAAGAACGAACATCTGGAGTTTTTCTATTGCCCCAGCGTCCGGAGGGGGGCTGTTTGGAACGAAAGCCAGGGAGGGGGCAGCCTGGGGCACGGAGGCATGGGAGGCCCAGCGGTGGAGTCCAGGAACCAGCCATCCTCCCCGGCCTTTCAGGGCTGGAAGAAACTCCATCTGGGAAGACAGAACAGAGGGGGGGAAAACAAGGTTTCCAAACTATTCAAGGCGACATTTTTTGCCCTAGACATTTTTTTTAGAACCGTGGTTGTTAGAGTGCAATATTGCAGGCTAACTCACTGCTCACTCCAGGAGTTCGAGCCCAACCAGCTCAAGATTGATTCAGCCTTCCATCCTTCTGAAGTCAGTAAAATGAGGACCCAGATTGTTGGGGACAAAAGGCTGACTCTGTACAACCACTTAGAGAGGGTAGTAAAGTACTATGGAGCAGTATATAAGTCTAAGTCAGTGATGGCGAACCTTTTAGAGACCGAGTGCCCAAACTGCAACCCAAAACCCACTTATGCATCGTCAAGTGCCGGGTGGGTGTGGCCCATTGGGTGGGCATGGCTGCAGTGGTAATGGCAGACTGGGTGGGACTAAAAAGTTCAATCAATCAATTCCAACTTTGCAAGAACTTTCCCCCCCCCCCCAAGTTGAAATTGACTGATTGAACCTTTTTTTTTTTTTTTTGCACATGGTGGTGGAGGCCTAAAGAGAAAAGGTTTTATAAAACCCAGCTGAAGGCCTAGGACTGGGGCGATGATACGCATGCCCACAGAGAGGGCTCTGAGTGCCGCCTCTGGCACCCGTGCCATAGGTTCGCCACCACTGGTATAGAAGAAGCTATTCTTTTTTTACCTACGTGATGGGTCCAGATTATGACATGTATTTCAGAAGAATCTCTACAATATTGCTATTGCTCTTCCTTCCTTCCTTCCTTCCTTCCTTCCTTCCTTCCTTCCTTCCTTCCTTCCTCCCTCCCTCCCTCCCTCCCTCCCTCCCATCCATTTATCCATCCATCCATGGTATGCAGTGGTTAGAATGCAGCATTGAAGGCAGACTCTGCCCACTGCCAGGAGTTCAAGCCTGACCGGCTCAAGGTGGACTCCGCCTTCCATCCTTCCGAGGCCGACAAAATGAGGAGCCAGATTGTTGGGGGCAACAGGCTGACTCTGTCAGCCACTTAGAGAGGGCCGTAAAACACTGTGAAGCGGTATATAAGTCTAAGGGCTATTGCTATTGGTGGGGCAGGAAATCTTCATTTTATTTGCCGTCTGGTAGTGAAAGGGAAGCAGGGTTTCAGTAGTTCACACGTAGTGCTAAGCCACAGTTAACCAAACTGTACTTGGATGCCTAGATAGCTCCAAGATATACAATAAATGGGGCTTGTGAAGCACAGTGGCGTTCTTTGTACAGTGTGCAAATCCACACTGAGGCAAGCACACATCGCGAGGCAGTTTCGTCTAAATCAGTGTTTCTCAACCTTGACCATTTTAAGGCATGTGGACTTCAACTCCCAGAATTCCACAGCCAGCATTGCTGGCTGTGGAATTCTGGGAGTTGAAGTCCACATGCCTTAAAATTGTCAAGGTTGAGAAACACTGGTCTAAATGAACAGTTATATAAGTCGAGGCCTTAACGTTGTAAACCTGGCCTGGTTGCTCGCCCAACCCCCGGCAGGACTCCGAACGGAGCCAGGGAAGGTCGCCTGAGCTGCAACGGGGGGCTGGGGGAGGCAGGGCTGGCCAGGACCAGGTCAGTCCGGTTCAGAGGCGCTTTCCCACACCGACCCCCGACGGGGGGGGGGTGGTGAGGAAGCAGCAGGCAACGCTTAACCAGCCATTCCAGGGATTTTGCAAAGCGAGCCCACCGCCTGGAGGGCGCCGGTTGGGGAAGCCCCTCCGCTGCGCCCGATCCTTCTCCCGCCCCCGCTCTGCTACCACCCCCCCTCCATGCGCGTGCACCGGGTGCGCGCGATGGCCTCGTGGGGAAGGGGCACCGGGCGGGCTGGAGCCCTTCAGACCACCCCCCACCCCGGCCCGGGCTCGCTCACCTCTCCTCCCCCGCCACAAGGACAGCCTGCCGGGAGGGGAAGCTCGGTCCGGAAAAAAAAACTACAACTCCCAGCATCCACCGGGGCAGAGCCGCAGCTCGCCCGGCCCACCGGCCGGACTCGGCGCTGCGGGGGCTTTGTGAGCTCAGGGCTGGCCGGACAGACCGGGGTAGCCGGTCCCGGAGGGAGCCTGCCCCGCTCGGACGGCCCGCGCGCCCCGGAGGGCTGGGAAAAGGGGTTGGGCTGGGCCAGGCGCCTCGGGGAGCGTAGCCAGGGGGGCACCCCGAGGGCATCCGTTCGAGCCCCGCCCGAGAGCGGCAGGAGGAGCAGTTGCGCCGGTGGAGCCGCGGGACGGACGGACTGCCTGCCTGCCTGCCGCCCAGTTGGAGGGAGCCCTCTTCGGCTTGGCTCCGGGGCGGATTCCCGGGGTTCTCCCCTCTGTGAGGTTGGGCAGCCACCTCTGTGAGGTGGGGCGTTGGCTCCCGAGGAGGCTTCAGGGTTCCCCCCAAGTTCGCGTTTCTGAAAATGTCGCTTTTTTTTTTTTTTTGCCTCCCCCCCCCCCTTTCGGGGGTCATTGTTACATTGCTGAGGATTCGGACCAAAAAGAGTGCTGCAGCTGCCAAAAAGGCCAACACAGTGCTGGGCTGCATTAACAGAGGGACAGAATCAAGATCAGGTGAAGTGTTAATACCACTTTACAATGCCTTGGTAAGGCCACACTTGGAATACTGCATCCAGTTTTGGTCACCATTATGTAAAAAAGATGCTGAGACTCTAGAAAGAGTGCAGAGAAGAGCAACAGAGATGATCAGGGGACTGGAGGCTAAAGCATATAAGGAACGGTTGCTAGAATTGGGAATGTCTGGTTTAATGAAGAGAAGGACGAGGGGGGACATGATAGCAGCCTTCCAATATCTCAGGAGCTGCTCCAAAGAAGAGGGAGTCAAGCTCTTCTCCAAAGCACCTGAAGGCAGGACAAGAAGCAACGGATGGAAAATAACCAAGGAGAGAAGCAACCTGGAACTAAGGAGGAATTTCCTGACAGTGAGAATAATTAACCAGTGGAACAATTTATCTCCAGAAGTTGTGAATGCTCCATCACTGAAGCTTTTTAAGAAGAGATTGGACAGCCATTTGTCTGAAATGGTAGGGTTTCCTGCCTGAGCAGAGGGCTGGACTAGATCAGGGCTTTTCAACCTTTTCACCCATTGTACCACTTTTAGGATATGGCA